GTAGTAGGTTAGGGAGGAATTCTCCTGTGTGCTGTCCTAGTACTTGCATAGTTTTAGTTTTCACATTTACCTCTCAGATCCATTTGTAGTTTATTCTTGTATATAGTGTGAAAAAGTGATCTTTTTAAATCTTTTTTTTTCCCAAAAATCTCTCCAGTTGTCATAATATCATTAATAAAAAGTCCATATTTGAGATCTAAGTGATTTGAGATCCTACCTTCATCATATGCTAGATTTCCTTATGTAGTTGGGTCTATTTCTTGCCTTTCTATTCTATTTCATTGGTTTTCTATTCATGTTCTGGTAGCACACTTTTAGTTATAAATACTCTGTAGAATGTTTTAACATCTGGGAGGGTTAGTCCCCTTGAGGGGAACAGTTTGAGTAATCTTATAAGAATAGCATTTAACTAGAAGTCATGAGATCTGAGTTGAAGACCCTGTTCTACCGCTTATTCTGTGACTTTGTGCCAGTAGGAACTCATGTCTGAGCCTCGGTTTCCTCATTTGTACAACAGGGTAGGTACAATTCTTTCCCTTTCTCTCAGGATTGAAATGAGTGAGTTACTTTAAACCAAGTATATCCCTTCTGAAGGAGTGGTCTTTGTCCTGAGTTCCAAAGTTCTGCGTGGACTCCTTGCTAATAGTAAGCAAGGCCAACTCTTGGTTTTCTCTATGGAAAGAGAAGGCCATGAGTTGCACAAGATGCGCTTACAAGCCATTAATAGGTGGAATTATGTTAGGAATTCGATTCATTTTATTTAGTTATTTGCACATTTATTATAGGCCATCAAAAACATTCAGTGCCGTTGCCAATGATACAAATAATTTCTTCTTTGGTAAAAAATGATATAAATATGTGCTTTGATGTCATATTGAGTTTAGATGCATTCATTGTGTTTAATACTGCAGCCCAGAGACCTGAATTAGAGCTAAACAGGAGCAGTAGCATCTCCTCAGCTACCTTGTGTTGACAGGTTGTTAAACACCCCTGGCCCTGGCGACACGCTGGACGCACGTTAGAGAAGGGACTGAGAAGGTGAAAATGCCCCTTCCCTCCAAGGCCACAGACTCCTCGGCTCAGTGCCAGGAGAGCCCTTGGAGGCCATTGGAGCAAACTTGAAGCTTGGATTCACTCTGGGGGTTTCCCGACAGGGGGTGTCCAGCCTCTGGCATCCTTAGAGGTCCCAGACAGTGTGTTCTTAAGTGGAGAATAATGATGATGATGCGGGCAGGTAACATTTATTAAGTCTTGTGTCAATCAGTGGTTGCCACAATACCGCTGCTTAGCAAACCATCCCAAACCCAGGTCTTAACGCAGTGGTCACTATTCTTGCTCATGCATGTGGGGCCAAGGGGACCCGCTGACCCAGTCTGGGCTTGGCTCCAGTGTCTCCGGGGCCACCTCTGCTCCACTGTCTCCCTCCTCCTCGGACGGGCAGGCGAGCCAGGCGTGCTCTCCCCCAGCCACACGGGCACGCGCCAAGCTTCTGCCTGCTGGACCTCTGCTCATCTCCACTGGCCAGAACAAGGCATGTGCCCCCCAAACTTAGGGGGTAGAGGGGTACACTCTGCTCCCGGGGGAGGAGCGGCAAAGGGTTCCTTTCACTTTTTCATAAGACTAAATTTATTTGATTTAAAAAATAGTTTAATATATGTCCTCCCTGCTTTTTGGTGTTAAATTACTATTTCTTTTCCAGGCTGGTGGTGGTAAGGGTGGGGAGAAGGATTGGGCCGTAATTCTGTCTTCCACCCTGTGCCCTGTGTTCCTCGCGTGTCTTCCCGGCCACGCCTCACGACAGCCCCGTGAACGAGGCCTGTTGTGGTGATGGTAGCAGAGGCGGCACAGAGCAGGGGTGGACACGGCAGCCTTGCAAGCCAGACCTACTGGGTTTGAAACCTCGCTTTTTTACTTACTAGCTGTGTGACTGTGAGCAAGTCACTTAAACGCTCTGTTCCTCAGTTTCCCCTTCTGTGAAACAGGGACATGAGTAACTCTCTGCTAGCATTATTGTGAGGAATAAATGGGTATGTGTGTACCTGACTCAGAGTTTGCTCTCTCTAAGTGTTGGCTATTATTATCCCCATTTTATAGATGGGGAAACTGAGGTCAATGATGAAGGGACTCTCTCAAGATCATACAAATAGCCTGGGCAGACTCAACACTCTTCTAGTCACTGTGCTCTGCTGCCTCCCTTTCTCCCTTGAGCTGAAGCCTCCCTGAGACTCCCCCACACTGTCCCATAAGGTTTACATTGGGAATTTTGTAAGCTGCAAAGATTAAATGGGAGAGTGCTTCTCAACTGCCTAGCCTAGTGCCTGGCACACCGTAGCGATTCAGGAGGTTGAGATGACACAGAAAGCTGTCCGTTTCTCTCCGTTCCTTGCAAGTCATAACTTGCTTTCATGACTAGTCCAAGGAAAGTAAATGCAGTCACAGGATGAAACCTCTGGTCCTAGGGCCATTTGCCAGATAGAAATGGAGCCATGGACAGGGCAAAGGAGCTCCCGGGCAACGGGGAACTCAGAGGCAGTGTGATTTGTAGAGTATAGGTGGCCGTGTGTCAGCTCCTCAGGGTGCACACTGCCATCCTGGTGGGCTGGGAACAGACCGAGCGCCCAGCGTGATGGCCAAGTCCTGCACAAGGCTACAGCGGACACAATCCATCCCCTGTCTCACCAAGCTCTTCTGTTGGTGAACTGACTTTCTTATGATTTTTCAGGCTCTGGATGTATCCAGCTAATGATAATTTTGAGTGTTTCTTCTCCTGATATTTATCCCCCTTATGTCTATATCTTGTCTTGTACTGGTTGAAACTTTCAGAACAATTTTCAGTGATAACATTGATAATAGGTTTCCTGGACATGTTCTTTATTTAATAGAAATTCTCTAAGTTGTTCACCAGTTAAGTATGACATTGACTTTAGATTTAAGATCAATATAAGGTCAAAGAAGTATACTTCAATTCTTATTTACTAAGAGGTATGATAAGGAGTTAATATTGAATTTTAGCCAATGCCTTTTCCATATCTTTGATATAATCATACGGTTTTCCTCCTTTGACATGTTAATATGATGCCCCGACCAATGCTTTAATATTGAACCATCCTTGCATACCTAGAATAAACCTTATTTAGCCATGGTATCTTATTCTTTCTCTAATATTTTTCAACTAGTGTGTTAGTAGACTTTTTGTATCTATATTAATAAATTGTGAGACTAGCCTTTAATTTTTGTGTATATATTACCTTTGTTAAGTTTTTAGATTGGGAGTATGCTAGCATGGTGAAGTTAATTAAGAAGATGTTCCTGGTTTTATATATCTTGGGACAGTTTAATAACAGAAGTATATGTCCCTTGAAGGTTTAAAAGAACTTGCCAAAAGCACAATACAAACTAACAAAAACTTGCCTGAGAAGCTAAATGGATGAGGTACTTAATATTTTTTAAAAAACAACTTTTTCTATTTCTTCTAAGGTTATTGGGCTATTGGTATTCTCTGTCTTTTCTTGAATTAACTTTGGTAATTCATGTTTTCCTAGGAAATTGTACCTTTTATTGAAATTTCCACATTTATTAGTGTGGAGTGTATTTTCTTATGTTTTTAAATATCATCTCTTCCATATCTCTGGTTGTATCTTCCCCTTATTCCTTATCTTGATATTTGTGCCTTTTTTTTGAATCTTCACAAAGGTTTGTCTATTTTATTGGTCTTTTCAAATAGCAATTCTTGGTTGTATTTATTGTTGTGTCTGCTTTCTGTTTTCAAATTCATTATTTTCTGCTTTTTCTTTACCAATTCCATTCTTCTCTTTGCCCTAGGTTCATTTTATTGTTTTTTTAATCTAGCTTCTTGAGTTGAGTGCTTCAGCGAGGCACTGATTTTCTGAACCTTTGCTTTAGGAATCAAGGCTTTAAAGCATGTGCAATAGCAACAGAGTCTGTTGGGGTTCAGACAAGACCAAAAGAGAAGCCCCCTGTTAAAGGAAGAATTCAGTCCCAAGAGGCAGGAGACCTGGGTTCCAGCACCAGCCTTGCCTCCAACCAGCTGAATATCCTTGGGCAGTCCCCTCCGAGGACCCTCATATCTACCCCTGGCAGCTGGGTAGGATGTGGGCACCTGCGCCAGCAGTCTCCTCCAGGGGAGAACGCCACCATCTTTCAAGAGGCAGATTTGGCAGCCCCCCCCCCCAATATGATATCCATCAAAACTGCAGTGGAATGAATTTCCTTCTGCACGATGGAGCCAATCAGCAATGGGGACAATGTCCCATCTGAGAGACAGGTGGAGACTCTGGACTCAGAAGCACAGAAGCCTGCACAGAGCTGGACACTGCCCATTGGGGTATCCACACCTTGAGAGCCGGGGCCTTCATTTCCATGTCCTGGCACCTGCGCAGGGATTAGGGGAGGCGCTTCCTGCATCTTCACTGAGTGAAGGAATGACTCTAGGCCAAAGGAGGAAGAATTCAGTACCGGGCCGGATATAGAGCTGTAGTTGGGTATGCCCCTACCCACTGTGGGGGCTGTCAAGGAAGAGCAAGGGGGTGTTTGAGCTTGTCTTTGCAGGCAGCGGTGGCAGCCCGTGTGCAGCTGGAGGGAGCGGGGCTTTTCACAGAGGCTCAGCAGAAGCAACAGTGTGGGGGTGGAGACGTCCAAGCCACACTTGGGGAGTAGAGGACGAGGTACACTGGCCAGAGCCAGGGCGTGCTGGCACCTGCATTGTCCTACCTCCCCAAGCACGAGGTTCCAGTTTCCCAGGGACAGGCCAGAGCCCTGACTCTGTTCTTGCTGAGTGAAGCCAGGATGGCTGAAGACGTGTGTGCATGAGAGTGTGTGTGTGTTTGTGAGAGCACATGTGAGCGACAGGGGGGAGCTGGGGGCACGTTGGCGTGCAGCGTCCAGATGTGACAAATGTGCAGAAGTGTCCGGGGAGCTGTGGACATGAGCAGCTGGCCGCAGAGATGCTCACCCTGTGATTTGTTGCTTTGATTCCTCAGGCCGTGACTTGGCGAGCACGACCCTCCCCGGGTACCCTCCGCACGTCCCCCCCGCCGGACAGGGCAGCTACTCAGCGCCTACGCTGACAGGGATGGTGCCTGGTGAGTTTGCACTGTCGGCGTCTCCACAGCAGGCAGCGAGGGGTTTCGGTGGGGGGAGCATCCCCCCAAACAGCCCGGGTGACCTCTACGCTTCTGAGATGCGGACCTGAATAAATCAGGCAGAGGTCTGCGCTCCCGGCCTCTTTCTCTGCAGCTGGGCCTGCAGCGGGGCTGGGACCAGCCCGTGACGGCACTGGCACGGAGGAGGACATGGGGGGGTCCTTGACTGTCACTCAAACAGCCCTGTTGGCCATGTGGGAAGTATGAACACAGGGGTGCAGGGGCTGCCCGGAGGCCACCCAGCCCATATGGAGGGGCCTTCTCCCCACCTCCCCGCCCTCCCTGCCCCCACCCTCTCTCTTCCACCAGTTTGTGTGACATGGACAAGTGGGAAGCCCCGGAGGTACTCTCAGTGGCCTTACTCCTTGGGGTGGAGGACGATGTCTTCAAGACAGACAGGATGTTGGCTGGTGGGCTTGTCACTTGATTCTAAACAACACCCTGTGGCCGCCGGAACCTGATCCCCTCTGGCCAGTGAAGTGTCATTTTCAAGACATTTAGAAAAGGAGGCCACCACATCTCCTTGCACTGCGGGGTGTCGTGGGGACAAGACAACACATCATCGTCATGCTTGCTGTCTGGATGTTAAGGGTATTAGCATAGCAGGGTTACCCAAAGTATCCTTTTTTGAAAGATGTTTTAAAAAAATCAGGGGAAATATCAGGCCTCCCTTGGACGATGTTGTGCTCGAGTTAGCGTTATCTATTTAAAATTTTTCTTTTAATTTTTATTTATTTAATTTTATCTTTAATTGACAATAATGATTGAATATATCAATAGGGTATAATGTGGTGTTTCCATACAGGTGTACACGGGGGAATGATCAAATCAGGCTAATTAGCATATCTAACACCTCAAATATTTATCATTTCTTTGTGGTGAGAACAGTTAAAATCCTCTCTTTTAGCTGTTTTGAAATATGCAATCCATTTTTATTAGCCATAGGCAGCATGCTGTCTCTTGTTTGGAGTCATTTACAGGGGGCCACACCCTTGTATCAGTGCCTGGGGGCTCCAAGGGCCGATCCTCTCCTAACACACTCTGATGACACTCTCTGGGCATTTAAAAAGCCAGAATAGTTATTTCAACCCCCCCACTGCCATCCCCACAGCTCGTCTTTGGGGTCTCCCAACAGCTCTGTGAAGCAGGCAGGGGATCATTCGTCCCACTTTATTGGTAAGAAAATCGAGCCCACAAAGGGTCTGGGACATGCCCGAGTCACCTAGCAAGTAAGAGTCGGGGCCATGGCTAGAAGCCAGGTAGAACCACCCTGAGACTCAGACAAGGGGGTCCTTGCTGTGGGACCACTCCTTAGAGCGCCCCTTCTGGCCCTGCTGAGGCAGTGGCCCCCTTCGCCCCAGACCAGGAGAGTCTGCAGGGCCGGGGGATGTGCCCACTCCCCTCCTTCTAGCTCACCCCAGGGTCCCACCCAGACAGGTCCAGGCCTCTTCAGCCTCTTCCCCAGGGCCGTCCTCCTAAAGACAGCCCGTGTCGCTGGGGTGTGCACCCTGGGCCCGAGGGCTGGCTCCCTGGGGTGGTGTGTGTGTGTGTGTGTGTGTGTGTGTATGAGTGAACACAGCCCGGATGTGAGGCTGGGTGTCCACACGTGTGTGCAAGGCCCTGTGTGGTGACAAGGAGCGGGTGGGGAGAGCAGCAGGTCAGATCCTAGCCGGGCGGGCTCCCCCTCCGCAGCCAGGTCCTGGCGTAGAACGCCAAGCAGGCCCAGAATTCTAAATTCCATCCCGGCCTTCCAGGTTGCTTCGAAGATGTATTTAACAAGGTAGGAGGACGGAGCATATTTCATTTAACGGTTTGTTAGCTTGATTTATGACTTTTAAATATGAGACATATGGGAAACGGCCTCTGCGTGTACTCTTGCCCCGGGCCTTGCCACTGGCGGGGAGGCCTGCCAGGTCCCCACCCGCAGAACCCTCCCTCCCTGCGGCCCGAGCAGACCATGGGGAGACGCCGTGCACAAGGCAGGCAGGTGGTGGGGCACACATCTTTCTTCCCCGTCCCCTGGGCTCCTTTCTTCCCAACCTTTAGCAAGTTAGGGCAGCCCGGGGAGATGGCCCCCAAGCCGTGTGTGCCTCCGGGCCCTCACATTTATGCAGCACATGTAGGCTGCCAGGACTTCCCCTGGAGCCCCTGATGCAACAACCCAGTGGGTGGGTGACGTCAGGAGTGTAATCCCTGTTGTCCAAAAGTGCTGAGACCCAGAGAAGTGAGGGAATTGCCCCTGGCCACGCAGCTTCCAGGTAAAGAACTTGAACCTTGGGCTTTCCCTCCACCTGCCCCTCGCCCCCACTGGCCCTTCCTCCTCTGCACCGTGCTGCCTGTGTGTGCTCTTAGGATCCACCAGCTTGGAGGTGGCCCTGGAACCTGTCCCAAGGTCATGTTGGCAGGTGAAGCCGAGGCCACCTGCTGGCCCTCCCAGCTCCCCACTGCAAACCCCAAAGAGGCCCAGTTCAGAGAAGCAGCTGAACTTTGCTGAGTCTATGCAAACAGAGGCTGCCCTCCGGCCCCAGTGTTCCTCCAGCCCTAATTACCAGGCTCAAGATACAAATGGCTATAGGCCTGGCAGAGCCCCCAGCGGAACGGATGGTGGCTTCTTGCCCATTAACGGTGGCAGCAGGAATCATGGCCGAGCAGGGGCACAGCCGGGCCAAGCCTGCTGGCAGCTGCTGAACAGGGGCAGCCTTGGGGTCCCCTAGGACTCTGTCCCCTTGGCGGGGAGGGAGGGTGCACAAGTGTGGAAGGAGGAAAACAAGAATTTGGCAGGGGAGCCGGCTGCACGGGAGCTCCCGTGACGTCTTCCTTCTCCCTCCCTCCGCTCTTTCCTTCTTTGCATCACTCTCCTCTTCCCCCCTTGCCCCGGCCCCCCCTGCCTTCTCTGCTCAGGCATCCCCAGCGCTTACCCAGTGCCAGGCCCAGCGCCAGAGCTGGGATTTCCAGCTCAGCGGGCACAGCCCTTAGTTCCTGTTCCTTAACGTCCAGACCAGGGTCATGTCTTTGGGCCTCTTGTTTCCAAGGCGATTTCCAAATCTGTTTCTCGGTGGCCTGTGCACATTGTCTTTGCTGGCACTGCCCCCAGGACTGTCCCACAGCTCAGAGAGGGCCACCTTTCAGCACAGCAGGGACCCTGGGCTGCCTGCCAGGGCATCACTGTGACCTGGTCCCAACCTGCCTCTCTGGCCTCCTCTCCCACCTCCCCCTCCCTGACTGGTCTCGGGTCCCCAGCACACCTTGGACTCTTACTGGTTGATGTCCTTCCTCATTCTGTGTCTTTGGCTTGGGCCACTTCCCACCTTGACCTGTCAGAATCCAGCTTCACCCTTTGGGCTGAACATCACCTGCCCCTAGAACTGCTGGTGTGGCCTCAGGGGGTGACGCCCATGCCTGGCTCTGCCGTACCTGGCCAGTGTGTCCAAGGTGCAGTCAGCTGTGTCCATGTCCACTGCTCTCACTGGGACCTTATTAGTGTCTGCACCTTCCCAGCCCCTAGCACAGTACAGGTCCTTACTGTGAGTGCTGGCTGAGGGAGGGAGCAGGGGAGGGGAAATTGTGTTCACCTGTGCGTCAGTTTCCTGGGGCGGTGATAACAAATGGCCACACACTTGGTGGCTTAAGACAATAGAAATTTCTTCTCTTACAGTTCTGGAGCCCAGAAGTCTGAAATCAGTATCACCAGGCCAAAATCTAGGTGTCGGCAGGGCTGTGCTCCCTCTGGGGACACTAAGGACAGATCCGTCCCTTCTTCCTCTAGTTCCCTGGCCGTGGCTGCCTTCCGCCAAGGCCGTGGGCTTCACATCTTCTCTGCGCACTGTCTTCACAGCCCCCTTCCCTCCCTGTGGCCAAATCTCCCTCTTCTTTCTTATAAAGACAGATATTCATCTAGGACCCACCTGGATGATCCAGGATAATCTCCTCGTCACGAGACCCTTAATTCATCTACAGAGACCCTTTTTGCTGTCATGTAAGGTGACATTTACAGGTTACATGTAAGGAACCTTCACATATAAAGTTCCAGAGATTAGGACATGGATATACCACAGCCTGTTTGAGAATTTCAATTTTGGGTTTATTTAGATTCATCACCTCTAATTATTTATTGTAATTCATAACCTCTCAGGCTTCTGAGTCTGGGAGGCATTGTGACGGTGCTCGAGGCCTTGATGCCATTTCGTAGACCCCCGAGGCCGGTTGGCACATTTGGAAACCAGCTGCGCAGGGCTCTGAGAGACGTCGGTAGCCTGGTGTGTCTGAGGCTGCTCCGCTGCAGGGCTCGGTCCCGCTGCAGTTGTGGGCCTCCCTCTCCCTCCTTGCCCCTGGCAGGCTGGCAGAGCGATCTCGAGGGAAGCTGGAAATCTTTGGGGTTTTCCCCACCGTAGGCTTTGGGAAACACTTGGCTGCCACCACTTCCATTTATAAGTTTGCTTTCAGGACATAGAGAGGAGGGAGCATTTGCCTTCAGGGTACCGTTGGGCTGCTGTACTTCAGGGCCTGAAAAAATAGACATAACATTTTCTGTATTAAATATCAGCTTGTTGGCCTGGATTCTTGTTCACTTTGAACCCTGATGCTGTCACCAGGGTGTTGTCTGCCCCTTCTGGCTCCAGGGTATCCTCTCACTTGCAAAACGTGGCTTCTTGGTCTTCTCTGGGGTTTGCAGATTTAGTCTGTGCAGCTCTGCTAGCTCTGTATAGCCCTTTGCTGATCGGTTATGTTGACGAAAGCAAACACAGCATCTTATATCAGCTTAGGATGGAGACAGTGTTCAGAGTTTATTTCCACTGAGTCCCAGCAAATGCCAAAAGTTTTGCACCAGAGATTCCATAGTGTCTTGATTGGTATAACTAGTTGATTTCTACCTGACGACATTTTGCAACCTAACAGATATTGACATGGCATTTGAAACTCTTAAAAATTCTGGGCTGGAG